ATGTTTCCATCACTCGCGGCGAAGTCCGCCAGTTTCTCAACAGTCTGATCGTGCGCCAAGACAGGCTTGAAAAGAGGCCCTAACGGCTTTGTGGTTTTCGAGTCGATGTTCCAGCTGGCAGACACAAGTACATGTCGGTGGCTATCCGCGCTTTCAGCAACAAGTTGACTGCTGTTCTCATGGCAAACAAGGACGCCTCCACGGCCGCAGGAGCTTCGGACAAAGTGGTTAAGGACCTGGGCAATCCGCTCAACGTCTACAGCGATGATGTGACTGAGTTCAAAAAGGAGTCTAAACAGAAGCTAGATTACTTCAAGGTGGATAAGATCGTTAGCAAAGGTCATGCCGCGATGGCCGAGTGGGCTATCGGAAGCCTTCAGGAAGCTCTAGTGCGAAGGCTCACTGCAGGTGTTGGACGAAGAAATCAATGGCATCCTCTGCTTCCAGACTTGCCACACACAGTACAATGAAAGACCTCGCTCAACCACTGGCCGGAGATGGCCGACACAGCCTTGGAGCGCATGAAAGCAAAGTCAAGAGAGGAGCCAGTGGGAGACCTGGTTCAGGTTGGGGTCAAACCTATTGAATCCAGAGCGGCCTACAGGGTCACAGAGATTGCCTGAGCGAAAGGGTCTACAAGGCGTCTGGCATTGAAGACTCAGACAGCGGCCCCTACTTCACGCCTTAGGGTTGGACTGGCGGTGAGCTTGTCCGCCGTGACCTGAGAAAGGTGGAGGCGGAGGCGCGTTTCCCTACGCAGTCCAGAGAACAGCGCAGAAGGGTAGCACCAGATTGCCCCGCCCAGGTCCCATCACACCTCCCTGACCTTTGCATGCATCGGCTTGTACCGGTTCGAGTTTCTTCCAGCTTTTTGTCCGGTGAGCCGGCTGTACACGCTGCAAGCTGTCCCAAGCCTGAGCCAAGGCGGCGCGCATCCCATAATAAATTCTTCAGAAAAGTCGGTGCAAAATCGACAAAAAAAACCAAAGCAACAGCTGTAGAACAACAAACCTGCTGGTGGGCTCAGCAGATCACACACCACCTGCTTGCACCCAGATGCCAAGGCGGGATCGAAGAGGACGGTAAGGTTGGGAAGGGCAAGGGCTCCTCAAGTTCGGGAGCGGTCAAAGCAGAGCGCGAGAGGACGAACGACGCCCGTTCCGGATGCACCTCTAGTGCTGAAGGAGACTATGCTCAACCCTCGCTAAACCCTCGCACGCCCACAGCAGTGCTGTGTCAAACCCCACAAAGAACCATGAAGACATGAGCAAGCAGTTGCTGTCAGTGCAGCTGCGGATCGGGTTCTTACGCAAGTTCGGGTTCACTCACTCAAGGCTCCCGACGATGATGTGGAGACCAGAATCTGATCAAAGCGGCGAGAGGACATGGGAAGGGTTGGGGACCAGCTATGAGCGCTCGGGTGCAATCAATCACTCCTGCCACAACACCTGTCCCTACCAGACCTACACAGCAAGCACTGCTACGTCGTAATGACTCTTGTGCCCAGGCTTCGCACCCACCGCATCAGTAAAACACCGGGGCCTCTGTTCAGCCAAAACGTCCACACGCGAGAATCGCAAACAATTGCCACCGTTGCCTGGAGTCGAGGATGCGGACCAAACGGACCCCCAGCCACATGGCATAGCGCAGCATGCTGAGGTTTCAAGGCAAGGCTTCAAATCAAGGCCTGAAGAAGCCCGTCAAAGGACAGCTGACAGGCCAGGCAGGCCGACGTCCTGCCAACTCCTGGCTGATTGCACTGCGTGGGTTCATGCAGCGCCGGCCTGTGGTGGTGCTTCAGGTCGCCGGCGAGGAGAACCTGCACAGCCCCCAGCAGCGATCCAAGATCCGCATGGATAGCCCTGTGCTGGCGGTCGAAAGCCCGCGCAGACAATAAACATATATATCAGTAAATGTTCTGAAGTTGAAATCAAGAGCAGAAAGGTTTCGACCGAGATGAGCAAGAAAAGCGAGCACTCGATGATGCCGTGGAGCAACAAGCCGACTAGCAGCAAGAACGCTACAACCCCGCATGTTTAAGTCAGGCTTAGGACTTGAGCATTGCCACATGAGCGCATTCTAGATGCCAAGAGGGTGGCCAAATACAGTGCACCTGAACTTTCTTCAAACTCAGCTGGCAGAAAGCGCGTCATTGCGCTCTGAGTCTCCTGCGCTGCAGCTCTTCTCTGTGCCCGCAAATGTTGGTCTGACTGTGCTGTTCGCTCGCTAGCACAGGGCGTTTTGGAGCTCCTGCGAAAAACTTTGCAAGAGATCTGGCACGGCGACGACTTGAAAGGAGTACGGCTTGTTGTCAAACTGTTTCTTGATACCACCTCTGCTGCGCAGTTGGAAAGGCTTTGTATGGCAAGGGCGTATGTAGAGACCGACCACATTCGCGATGCCATCAGCGAGAGGTGTCTCTAGAATTTCGTGGAGGTGGCTGGCCACTATCTCGCCGTGTTGTCTTGCGATGGTTGGCTGAAGCAAATATAGGGTATCTCCGTGCCACCCAAAGCCATCCACTGACTTCATCCTGTCTTCTTCGGGTGGGTTGCGGTAGAGGACACCGCGCTTGACATCCACTTTTCGGCAGGTGAACGCTTCTACCCTCTCAAAGCGCAAACTCCACTTCCCACTGCTCGCATCAGGACTCAGTACAACACCCTGAGTTCCTACCAACTCATTCAAGACTCTGTGTTGAAAGTAGTATCGCCCCAGTTCTGGAATGCATCGCAGAAGATTCGACAATTGCTCTCCGATCTGCCCCATGCGATTGAAAAGCTGCGTCTGGACAAACTCAGACGCAAAGCCAACCTTCCTTCCTGCCATTAAACTCTCTCCTTGTCCTTGGACCCCTTCATCATTGTCCTTCTTGTGGAAGCACGCGAACGACAAGGGCGTGTCTTCTTTCAAAACTTCGCTGGACTGGAGTACCAACATTGTGTGAGCATCTTTGGCAGTCAGGCGCTGGCCTCCCTCATTCACGACGCCCATTAAAGCGTTGCAAAAGGTCTCAGTCAGCCTTGTCAGCCCAACCTCGTCGTACTCCAGAATCAAACGTGGGATGGCAAAACCGCATAGCTCGGCCCTTCCCCTAATAGCTTCGACACTCATCCCGCTCATTTCGCACAGCTCTCCTGTTTCACTTGCTCCCCACACGGGCAAGTAGAGCTCCTCAAAACGTCTTTTCTGGAACTCTTTCAGTGCACTGCCAAATCCAGGGGTTGCCACGACCAGCATGTCATCGACCCGAAAGTAGGTGTTTGCCTGCTGAATGTTCACGCTTGCCCGTCCTTCCTTGACCGTGCCATCGGGCGCTACGTCGAACAAGCCCAAAGACTTTGGCAACATCCCCCGGTGGTGACCAGTTTCATGGTTCCAGCATGTGCCATCCCTTTGAATGGACACCAGCATCGAAACATCTCCAAGCACGACCACTTCGTAGCCCAGCTCCCCCTGGAAGAACTTCCAAAGGAGATAGTAGACCAACGTCGTCTTGCCGATGCCCGGCGTGCCACTCAAAACCAAGCGCATGCCTTTCTTCTTGCCCCGTTGCTGGATATGCTCGCAAAGCTTGGTGTAGCATTGTCTCTCGACGATCGCTGAGAGCGTCCAGGGTAGTTCGTCTGGCGGCACAAGGGAAGCGGTGTTGCGTAAGACCTGCAGTCTTTTTTGAGGTTCCCGCGTAGCCTGCTTTAGCCACTCGATGAAGGGAGGCTTCATCACTGCCTGCCATGAAAGGTTTGTGGAAACCGCTCAAGGCACCACACTTTGGACGGCTAACTTTGCAACCAGCTGTTGAAACCACTCTGACAACTTTAAGGACTTCGTGCAGGTTCTGACCACTTTAAGGACTTCGAACGGGTCATAAGAAAGCAGTTGAAGGCGAGGGCCCCCCATCCAGATTGCCACGCCCGAGCTACTCAAAGCAGGGCACAGCTGAATTCTTGAGGATGTCTTTCAGTCAAAACACGAAATTAACGCACGACAAAGTGCCTCGCCGCTGGCATGCAAGCTCGCAGCTTAAGCTCCAGACATCAACTACGAGCATTAAACCCCTAAACAGCTCTGACTTGCAAGAAGAAGCACCAGTTGACAGCAGCGTTCCAAGCAAAAGACAACAATTGTCGAAGCTTTGGGGTGGGAAGACGCGGATACGTTTTGAGCATGGATGCAGGGGTCTCTGTGCATTCTCTTACCCCTCAAACACTTGCATAGGTGCCCCAAAGCTCACAAGAAAGAACATGACCTTGGACAAGCTGCAAGTCAAGCACAAACCAAGGCGCTGAATTGGATTCGAACCCCGCAACGCAGCAAACCCAGCTAAACTACAGCCCAATGGCCTCGACCGTCGGGCTCGCCTTCGCCTGGACCTTCTGCTCCGCCTCCTTGACCTTCTGCTCCGCCTCCTTGACCTTCTGCTCCGCCTCCTTGACCTTCTGCTCCGCCTCCTTGACCTCCTGCTTCGCCTGACTTGCCTGCTCCCTGTCTTGGCTGCTTACGGCTTCTCGCCACCACTGCTGCGCAAACTCCACCGATGCTCTCGCACTATCCACCTCCGCCTGGGCTCCTGCCAGCCCCTTCACCGCCAGCTCAAGCAGCTGTCGGTCCAGGTCCAACGGCACAACAAGAGTCTCATGCACCGCAGATCTCAGCATGCATTCACGACCGGCCTGATTTGAGGCTGCTTTGGCCTGCCAGGGCCACCATCCAATAACAAGAAAACTGAACTGACAAGATCTGACAAGCTTTCACGGATCAGAGGCCGCTGCAAAACCTCTCTGAAGCACCTCAAGCTTCTTGCCGCCCGCATCATGATCTTTGCCCGCAGCGACACACGACTCCTCATCCTTCGACGCACAAAAAGCACAAAAAACACACACACACACACACACCACACAAACCCAATCCAACGCCGGAGGCAGCCGCGCCTGCTCTTCAGTCGGGTCCTGGGCCTCCAACAATGCATCCTGCACGCATGACACGATCGCAAGCACGCATCTTTCGACTCACAGCCAACCACGCCTCTCGTCTCCGTTTGGCAGCTTTCGCCCGCGGCTCCTGTGCAAGGAGACGACTCCACAAAAAATCCCAAGAAAGTTTGAGTGACATGGTCCTGTGGCTTCTCATTGAAGTCTCTGTTGCTGCAGTTTGCCATTTGTGAAACCTTTCTATCAAAAGTTTGAACCGAAGCGCTGCAGCCAGGTCACCACCAAGGAAGGCTCAACTGCGTGTGAAGGCACACACGAGCAAGAACTGCAGGCCCGCCTTCACACCCTGGACAAAGCTGGGGACGTGGATCGCAGCCAACAGCGTTTCCGGTCACAAGACCTGCTAGCCACCGCAAAAGCCAGATGTGTTTCGGACGAAAGGGCTGCAGTGACATGCCACAAAATCAAGCGAACCATGAGACTTCCTATCTGCTGAATTATTTTTCCTGTCTTCCCTACCACTTCGTACCAGCAGACTCTGCCCTACCTGCGCGCAAACCCAACTCTTACCGCACCACTGCCAGCACTACGGTCACTCCGGCCTACCCTAGGAAAAACGTGGCTTCTCTCAAGAGGACCCGGTCCGGCAACGATGACGAGTATCGGCAAGAAGCACCTGATCGCAGCGGACAAGGGCCTGGGAGGGGCTTCCTACTTCACTATTTGTACATGCACTCACTCCTACTGCAGCCGCCTACCTTCGCCCTGCCCGAGCTCCTACGACTGCACAACACACTGCCAGCTCCGCTCCAGCTTGGTGAGCCATTGGCTTGACGGGGAGGCTTAAGCTTGGGGAGGTTCCTACCAGCCACTCCTACCTGCACATGCAAAAATAGCACTCAGCTGGCTTAACTCTTCCCTACCTATGCGCGAACGATCTGGTCTACCCTAGCTCTACTGGCGCTCCAAGCTCCGCGCCCGCCTTGTTCACCCTAAACAGCGAGCCCGCCCCACTAAACAGCGATCTGTCAAAAACTGCAATGCGGGACAATAATCATGGAAAAAATAGAAAAACTGAAGCAACCAAAAACTCACGGGCAATCACGCGCTAAAATTGCAAGAAAAACCGGCAAGCAACGAAAAACCAGAAAGAAGCAGCATGCTGAATGCTGGCTCAAGGACCAAAATCAGTCGGCAACAAAGGCCGAAATTCACCCACATTTTAGTTGGCCTACAATTGGCCGAAATTTGGCCCACAGTTGGACAAATGGCCCAGCCCACAGTGAGCCCACAATGGACCCACAATTGGCCCACAATTGGGCCCACAATTAGCCTGCAAATGGCCCACAGTTGGCCCACAATTGGGCCCACAATTAGCCTGCAATTGGCCCACAGTTGGCCCACAATTGGCCCACAATTGGCACACACTTGGCCCACAACTGGCAAGTGGTCCACAAATTCCCCACAATTGGCCCACAAGTGGCCCACAATCAGCCCACAATTAGCCCACAATTGCAATTAGCCCATAATGGGCCCACTGACTTCGCCGCGAGTGATGGAAACAT